GGGCGCACTGGTGACTTCCCGTAATGCTCCTCACAGTTTTTAAAAACACAAGAAAAACGGGAAAAATCGTAATTTATAACTTTGAGCATAACCTGTCTTCAGAAAGGACAACGTATAGGGTAAATCGAGGTTATATGGCCATAGAGGAGAGATGGCCCAACTGGATATTTTCCTAAATAGTTATTAGAGGGCGTTTTTTCCAATAAGGCGTAATGTACTGTTGTGTGATCGTGCTATACTAGAAACTCTGAGTCAATTAACTAAGTTTAAAGGTAAGTTATTTTAAAATTACTGTTTACATGGGTTCAATAGTTTTTGAATACAATTTTCCACTATCCAAATTTCATAAAATTTTATTAGTTTTTAACAATCCGTCTGGTGTTTATTTTACCATGTGTGGTGTATTTTATGTTGCCTACGCGTTTTACGCGAATTAACGTATATAAAATCTAAATCATGCTATGGCCATCTTTCCTCGAAGAAAAGGAGAGATGTCCCACTTATTTCCTATGTATGATGGCCATCGTAGATCATTTGTATTTATTTTAGATGCCAAATATTTATAAAAGAAAATCATTGGAGAGGGCCAAATGGACCGAGGAGCAACTGAAATCTGCAATGAGTACTGTTAAAGATGAGGGATTATGTGTACGTCAGGCTGGAAAAACTTACGGCATTCCGAGAAAGACATTGGAAAGGCGAAAGAATGAAGACCATAAGAAAAAATTGGGTTCAGATACTACTTTCGGAGCTGCACATGAAAACAGACTGGTTCGGCATATTAAAGAAATGCAAAAAGTGGATCTCCACTTACTAGAGATGATTTGCGAACCATAGCTTATAAATTTGCTGTTCAGCTGGGCTTAAAACATAAATTTAATAATCGGCTTCAGAAAGCTGGTTAAGTTTGGCTGCATTCATTTCTCACCAGAGATCCACAAATATCAGTTAGAAAAGCAGAAAGTTTGTCGTTGGCGAGGTGCACAGCAAAGTCTAGAAAGGTAGTAGTTGATAACTTTAAAGTACTGCCGAGTGTTCTGGAAGAAAACAACATCTTGATAAACCCGAAAAATATGTTATCATATGGACGAGGGTGGATTGCAACTAAATACAAGACCGGGGGAAGTTTTGGCAGGATCAAAAGTAGTTTCGTCAGTTGCTTGAGCAGAAAAGGCCGAGACTGTAACAGTTGTTGCCTGCTGTAACTCCGACGGCACTTTTCTTCCTCCTGTCGCTATTATGAAAGGAAAAATTTAAGTTAGTTAGTTTTTTAATGTAAGTTACTTTTTTGGCAAAAGGATTGGCTATTGAGCTTTTAGTTTTTTTTTCTGTTATATGTAATAATAAAGTCTCATAGGTATTTCACGAGTATTCTTATAAAACTCATTATTTTCTTTGAATTTTATATGGCCATCTTACCTTCTATGATATGGCCATCTCTACTAAACACTATAGGAGAGATGGCCCACATATAAAAAATACCGATATTTATCAACAAAATGAAAAACCATATTTATAATAAATTTGCACAGAGCAACAAATAATAATTACCATGCCCTACCCTAAAATATTATATTTTTTGTTAAAACCCAATTACTAAAAGTATTACAGACGATTAAAAAAATATGGCCATCTTTCCTCGGCTTACCCTAAATAACAGCTAATAGATTTATTCATTGGCAGCATATTCAGTAATGATTTTCTCACACAGCAGATATCACTGATTTTATGCACACATTATCCAGATGCGATCTTGCTATTCAACCAACTGTCTCTCTTTCACATCTCAGAGATAAACACTACAGACTACTCGGCCTCACAAAACATATACTTGCTTTCTGCAACCAACAATGCATGTAGTTCAGTCATTCCTCCATAGATGAACGCTCAGAGCGATCATAGCGAGCAAACGTGGAATAAACTATTTCCACCCTAAAAACTACCTAGTGTGCAAAATGACATTTTATTGTTTTTTTTTTAAGTTTTATAGGGTTTTTACATAATAGCTGTGGAGAAATTGCGCGAAGCCATCATACCAAATTTTCAGATGGCATCACGTGGCATGGTTCCCTTTGAATGTCGAAGTGCTATTTCTCGCAGTTCAGATCTGTAAACAATGCAGTAGCAACACGTCAGTCGAAAATGGCATAACGTTTATCCTGAGTGTTACGACAACAGTTCTGTGTGGGTTTTCGCGTTTTTTGGAGGTCTTTTGGCGTTTTCAGAATGATGGACGAGAGTCACGTATCTGGTACATTAAGAAATCGACATATAACCGCACACTCGCTTGTCGTTTTTGGAGGGCGGGATATAGTCTATGCTGGCCATGCTCGGTGCGAACTTAAAATTTGGAATGATAGCTTTGCACAGTCTCAGCATGCTACGGAACTTTCAGGATATTGTAAATGAAAACTAAAGACAAAAGAAATGTCTCCTGGAAGACCAATAAGATATTGCCAAGTGTTATGTCTGTTGTGTTCAAAACGTATTCTACATTGAAGAAGAATTTCAAATGTATGTGGTGTCACTGGTCAGACAAACATGGGGGATTAAAATACGTATTGTTTGACCTATTCATGGATTTAGAGACGAAAGCGCAAAGTCCCTGCTTGGGAGCTGTTTCACTAGGTCTGAAACCATTTTCTCTAAACCTTGTGTCACAGTAGGGGATAATTGCATCTTTTATCCCACAGATTTCTCTATTGTTTACCAAAAGGTCTGCGTTTACATCATAACTTTTCAGCTGAATATCAAATTAACCAATTTACACAGAAACACGCGAACGTAGAGAAAGACCCAGGAAGCTAATGAGACCGATGTTCGATGGAGTACACAAAGAGGTTACTGGCTTGTTTAAGCTTTAGCCTCCCTTTCAGCATTAACTGCCAATTATTTGACGCTTTAAACTTTCCTCAAGCCACTTCCCACGAAGTTTTGTTATAACGGGCCACCTTGGACTTTTCTCACCATTAAACTGTATTTAAGCGTTCTTCATACATTTATTTAAGAATAATTAAAATTTTCCATTTGAATGTTTTGATGCGCAGAAAGTGAAATTTGCTGTAAAGATATATAAATGTCGCGACAGGTACAGATGAAATAGAAAAGATGCGACATGTTCGTTCTATCTTATCTTTTTAAATGATTCCATGTAAAGTATCTCACAGCGTATGAAAAAAATTGAATCTGAAGGGAAGTACTTTATTCAACAAACACATATGTAATAAGGTAGATGTACTTATTATAGTCATTTGAACTGCGTCAATTTTCACGAACATGCATAGGTATCAGAATGTATACACTTTACTACAGTCTTGTAATTTATTTAGGTACAGCCACAAACGTCACTGCTTCACGAATAATACTGTTTTAATACGGATCATTTGATCAATGAAGGTAAATGTCAAAAAACACTATTACATACTGACTGGTTCAACTACGTATAAAGGTCTGGTACTTCTAACACACTAGTATCAATATAATAATAATAATAATAATAATAATAATAATAATAATAATAATAATAATAATAACACTGGACAACAAATTTTAGTTTTTTAATTGTATCTTGTGGGAACTTCTTTGTTAATTTTAGGTCGCTGAATCCAAAAATGACAATGAAATAAAAAAATTAGTTGCGGTTTAGAAAAAAACTTTTTATTTTTAAGGATATATTAAAAAAGTAACCAGATGCATATACTTATAAGAATCACTATATGCGCTGTCTTTTTGCTGTTCTTTTAAGGATCGTTTCTGGAGCATCTCTACCAAGAGTCCAACAGTAGTCTGCAAGCATGGAAGGATTCCACTTTCCCTGGTACCTTTTTTCCATTGTTGAAATATCCTGATGAAAACGTTCGCCGTGCTCATCACTTACGGCTCCGCAATTGTCAGGAAAAAAGTCCAGGTGTGAGTGTAGGAAATGTATCTTAACAGACATATTACAGCACATCTTTTGATACGATGACAGCATATTTTTGACAAGCTTTTTATAGTTGTCAGCTTTTCTATTTCCCAAGAAATTAGTGACCACCAGACGGAAATCATTCCAAACAGTCTTTTCAATACCGTCAGTTGGGGTTAAATTCATCAAAATATTCAGATTATTCGCATAATTTTTGTTATGTCACAATTTTATTTGGCTATAATGATTGAATCTGTTACATATTATGTGCAAGAATCGCACAGTAGGTACACAGAACCCCAATGTTTGAAACTATGACCATAACGGAATCAAAAAGGGCTGATCAATCTCATACGTGTTTTGGGGCGAGATTGTTCACGTAGTATTAATCGCGTGTAAAATGAGCGTACAGGCTCCTAAATGAACGATCTCAACTCTGGTGATTATATTTCAACTGGTTACAGAATTACAGCATTTTAACGTAGGTGGGCTGAGATTGTTCACTATGGGTGAGATTGGTCAACTTTACTTTACTGTACATATTCCAGTAAATAATTGCCGAAAACAACTATTTGGTTAATAAACAACATTTATTTTTCCAGATAACTCACAAAACACTAATTTCACATATTGAAATAGGTGCTTACCCATATCTATAACTAATACAAGTAGCTTAAATAAGTATCCTAACAGTTGAGGTAGAATATAAAAAAGAAAAACTACATTTCGAATATATCTATCATATTATCAAAACGATAGGTGATAAGGCCATCTGAATTTTCGATGACAGGATCCGGCAACACAGCTACTATGTCTGGAAAATCCACTATAAATTCGTCGCCATCTTGAGCTTTAAACTTATTTTTAGATCCATCTACGTTATAGACTTTAATCCCAACACCTCGAATTCTCGAACACTTTGATTCTCGGTCACATTTTGCACAACGGGAACATATCGATAAACTGTTTTTTTCTTGATCCACCACCTACTTCAACTAGAAGAAATTTGCCAGGAAGTATATCTCTTTGTCTTGGTTCAAAGTATTCGGTTTCCGGTTCGGCGATGGTTTCTAATTAATTTTCACTGGAGCTATCATTAGTATGAGGATCGATCCGAGTCACTCGATTCTTCATTTGGAACAACACTTTTCCCAGGCTCTACAGACAGCTTTTGACGCCTCATATTCCTTCTTGATGGCCCTACCATGAAACGCTGCTGTTGCAGATATCCTACAATAACGTTGCCCAGCGCATCTTCAGTATTCGTATCAGTAGTTTGGCTTGGAATTTTTCGCAGAACCCGTTCAGCATCTAGAGGAGCTATACCAGTTGCACGAAATGAACTTATCAAGTCTTCCTTTATAGCATTGTTATGTTTTTGGTTCATTTCTACAGAGTAGAAGCTAATAGATTGGGAAAATCCTTTTTGTCCAGAGTAGATTGATGAGGATGAGTGTTCTTCCATTTTGTTAGGGAAGACCTCCAAGCTATCTTAAAACGATGAAAAAATCCGACATCTAATGGCTGAGAGAGATTGGTCGAACACTTTGGGAGGCAAAAGAAAGCGACATCGTTTTCTCTACACTGTCTTAAAACGCTTTCTGTGAAATGGGAAGACAGGTTGTCTCCAATTAACACTTTCCGACCAGGAAGAGATTTTGCATGAGGAAGGAAAGCTGATTAAAACCAATCTGTAAACGTTTGAGCGTCCATCCATCCATGTTGTGTCCGATTATATCGCGAGCCGACACTGCGGCATCTATTGTTGCAGCAAGGCTCGCCCTTGGGACCGAGCTCAATCCTCTGCTCCCACATTTTCTCAGCCTTATAAATAACGAATGGTGGAAGCAGCACACCAGAAGCCGACCTGCACATCTTTATGGTAGTAGCAGTTTTGGTAAAGTTGCATATCGTTTCAGGGTACTTTGTGCCGCGCCGAAACAGCATTTTTTGTTTTCCGGGATCATCCTGCACATTTGTTTCATCATAGTCGAATATATTACAAGCTGGGATGTCCTTTAAAGTTTCACTCAAATTTTCAAAATAATGGACTATATCTTCCCTTGAAACATTGGCCCGAGCTCTCTTGATGTTCGATGCAACTTTTTGGCGAATATCTTTCTTACGTCGTTGTAAGAAAGAACGAGCCCAATCTGTTCCAGGCATGTTTGCTCTAAACTTTCCAATATTGCGACCCTGACTATCCAAATAGCTTTTAGCTATATAGCGCAAATCAGTAAGCGTAAGTGGGAATCCCCAATCTGAACAGACAGTTACTGCTTTTACGAAGGCAAGCTCTTCCGCAACTGAAAAAACTGTTTGACCTCCAGATTTTAGAGTTCTGATTCCCATATACTTATTCCGAAGGGTACCAAAAGGGATATTATGTGCAGCCGATGCTTGACGGAGGGACCATCCATCTTTTACCACGTTTTTGAGAGCAGCTTCTAGGATCTCTGGGGCATAATCCACGTAACGGCGTGATCCAAGTCTTCTTTTATAATTCCTCGGCATGATTAGGATTCATCAACTGGAAGAAACATTAAAATTATAGCTGAATCCAATCATAATTTATTAAAAATACAAAAAAAAATTTACTCATATTTTTAGATGGGGTGTGATTGATCACTGAAAATTGATCAATCTCGCCCCGTCTATGCGAACAATCTGACCCCAACCATTAAATATCTCAATATTATGAAAAGCACGCCACTGTTCATTCCCGCTCGACTACACCATAACCTCAAAATATCAACAAACATGCATAGTATGACGCAAATAAAAATACACATCAGCATTTTAACTTACCTGGGAAATTTTCAGATAGTTATTCTATGTGCCAAAACCGACACCTTCAAAAACACTGACTTTTTACATTAAATAAGCGGAACCGCTAGCTTATACGCATACCGTATCTGCAGCCATGTTTCCTCTGACGAACACAATAGCTTTCGCTGTGAATAGTTCTCTAGTTCTGGCGCTAAATTCAAATCTATGAGAAAATGATCTGGTGATCAAACTCGCCCCTTGAGATCAATGTCACCCCAATCGACGGTACCTGCTAAAGTGTTTTCAAACTGTGTATCTTTCAAAATATTTCGAATCTGTGGCCCAACAAAAATACCTTCTTTAACCTTTGCCTCACTTAGTCTTGGAAATTTCTGACGCAGGTATTGAACAGCTGACCCATTTCTATCTAATGCCTTGACAAAGTTTTTCATTAGGCCCAACTTGATATGCAGTAGTGGTAATGAAATTTTTTTCGAATCGACTAATGGCATATGCTGTACACTTTTCTGACCTGGCTCTAGGAATTGACGAACAGGCCAGTTTTGTTTGGTGTAATGAAGTGCCTTTGCCCGACTGTCCCATTCACACAAAAAACAGCAAAACTTTGTGTAGCCTAGCTGCAGCCCAAGTAAAAGTGCAACAACTTTCAAATCGCCACAAATATGCCATTGGTGCTCATCGTATTTTATGCATGTTACTAGGTACTTCATATTGTCATAATATTCTTTCATGTGAACTGCATACCCTACAGGAAGAGATGGTAAAATATTTCCAATATGCAATAACACTGCCTTTAAACTCAATGTTGAACTGTCTATAAACAATCTCCATATTCTTCTGGGTTATAGTTTATATTTAAAGCCGCCAGTAAGCCGTTAATGTTACTGCAGAAAACCAAGTTATTCTCCATATTGAAAAATGGTTCTAAGTCTTTGTGGCGTTTACGAAAAACACATACCGAAACATCGTCTTCTAACAAGTTCCACTGCTGCAGTCTTGATCCAAGTAACTCTGAATTACATTTTGGTTCTAAATCTCTTACAAGATCATTTAATTCTGACTGTGTTATTTTGTGCGGTTGGTGGCATGACGTGCTCGGTATAAAATCAGGATCTCTTGACGTTGATGGCATATCTTCTTCCTGACGAATCACTCGATCGCCATAATCTGATTCGTTTTCTGATTCGCAAGTGTAGGATTCTGGGGGTTTTGGAATAGGATTTTCGTCACTGTGAGGCACAGGTCTCATCGCAGATGGTATGTTTGGGTAGTTAATAACCGATTTTTTTTTTGGACATACCTGTGGCTTGTCCAACAAAAGGTACCATGCAAAAGTAACAATCATTAATATGATTTGTAGGCTCTCTCCAAACCATTGGGACAGCAAAGCGCATAGACCGTTTTTTTGCCATTTAACCAGCTCCTCAGACTTGAAGCACATGTATTACAGCAGATGTGGAGTGCCCACTGTTTGTCTTGATCACCTAGTTTACAACCGAAATTAAGCTGATATGCCTTTATTATTAGTGGAGTAATACACCGTCTCTGAGACGCAAAAGTCACATCACCACACACGTAACAAAACTGATCTGGATTGTTTACACACTTTCGAGACATCTTGCATGAACGCTGTCAGCCAACTGAGGAAAAAATGGCTAATATAAAACAATATAATGTACACGTATGTATAACGTAACACAATCATGCCGATTACATCATCTTTCCTTGCCGAATATAAAAATGTAGCACGTGCATTCTTGTGAATTACACTATATTAACACTGTCACAGCAGGAACACATATAATTACCGTATCTCTAAAACTTGAGCTAATAGTGAAAAAATAAGTTTCATTCCGGTTTTAGCACATTAAAAATAGTAATATTTTGTTGATTTTATTAAGGATATTTTTTGGCTGTTGATCAGTGTAATAGTAATGATAATAATAATAATAATAGTAATAATAATAATAATAATGATGAAAATCATCTTTATTAGAGGTGAAGTTTGGTACAGAGCCAAAAAGAAAAGTACAAAATACAAAACTCCAAACATAATAAATTTCATTGTTACAATAATGAGCTAGAACATAGGTATATAAAAATAGATTCAAAGGTATGCATTATAATCAGCATTGAAACATTTTAGTGAAGTGGGAGGTAAATGTGAGCAAATCATGAAGAATATTCATCCAAAATACGTTTTATGACAAGTCTTTTAAATTTATCATGTTACCAATTTTAGGCTTTGTGCTATTTCGTTATAGTAAATAACGGCCTTGGATGAGAAGCCATAACGTAAGAATGAAGGTGTATTGTAAGAGTCGCTGTGAAGCGGATGTCCCTTGAATGAATATAGTTTCTAGATATTAGTTTATTTTCCAAAAAAGGAGGTGCGGTTATGAGTTATAGATTGAGTATGAACAATTATAGATGTAGATCATTCAGCTCTTTCAACCTCAACCACTCCATGCCTTTTATGAAAGAGCTAATGTGATCATCCTTCCTTAAGTTGCTAATCAATCTGCAACAAGAATCTTAAATTTCTTGAAGACGTGCAAGGAGTGTTGAATCGTATCTAGAAATTTTAGGTAGACGATATTACAGTATGTGATTTTTGACATAATTAGTGATTCACACAAAATATATGTGTAGGTACATTAAAATTCTTTGCGTAATTGACTGGTAAGAGAATCAATGAATTTTGCAGAAATTCATTTACATTGGAATTACCACATGTAACTCAGTAAAAGATACAGAAATTATAAGCGATATTAGCGATATCTACAATTACACGAGACACGCATGACTTCAAAATTTTATAGCATCCTATGTTCTCTAATATGAACTGAAGTAACTAGAAGGTATACAAATCAATCCTATGATATTGACCTGCATAATTGTTCACTATGCCCAGCAACTCAGTAAACCGCAAAAAATTGTGCAAGTTTGCCTCTATTTCTTTGCCACCACCATACAAAGCGTACAAAAGGCTATTGTGTCATTGACATAGTATAAACGCTTATTCATACTCGTGACGTGACAGTGCTGTGACCGGCACGTGATCCGTCCGGCGAATCTAAAAAGATTCTTCCTGGAATTTGGATGAACTGATTCACACTAGACCGGCACGTGGAAGTGGCCGTGTTCTCAGTGCCCTCGGCGACGCCGTACCGTGGTCATCGCATAGTTTTGGAACGATATTTCTCGATTTTCACGGCCGCGTTTTTATGCAATTTCGTGAATGTTTTGATATATTTGGTCAAAAACATGAATGATGAAAAACTAACTGAATTTGTGCGCGCACATCTTGTGCTGTATAACCAGTCAAATTCAAAATACATGGACTTCCGATTTCTTCTCGTTTCTTCTTCTCCAAATTTTGCCATTTCGACCTCATGTGAACACAACTACACTGTCAGAGCACGGATAAGAAAACTGACCGGTGTGAATTGAAAACACTGTGAGCTCACGTCAGCGAGAATCTCTGGTACGTCACGGCACTGTCACGTCACGGCTGAGTATAAATGGACCTTTAGAGTTGTGTCAAAATACCATCAAAATCTGAGCAGGGTTTCGGTCAACGCATCACCCGGTGCTAAAAAACTATAGTCCGACCCTGTACTTTTCCCTCTAGCACTACCTGTGGCTGAAGCGCCCGCCTCGACAGCTCTCGTT